CTTTTTCTGAAAAACAACTGTGTTTCCTTTTTATACCGATTCTTTCATTATTTTTTCACAAATGTATTTTAAAGCGAAATCATCGAAAAATGAATGTTTTATGATATTTTTTATATAAAATTGTGTCAAATTAAAATAGGAAATTGCTTGTACATTTTTTGGTCATTCTACCTTTATATGCCGAATATTTGCGAGAAATCGATTTATATAAAATAATTTATATTTTTTATTTTTAAATTTATATTATTTATATAAAAATATTAGGATAGTTCCATAAAATAAAACTAGTTTAGCCTTCAAATGAGCTTGAAAAAAATTATCTTAATTAAAATTTAAAATTATCAACTTTTTTCCTTTCGAAACCTTTTAATTTTTATATAAAATATTTTCTCATAGTCGCATGTTCCATTATATTAATTAAAATGGAAAACATCCATTTTCTATATATATATATATAAATTATGGATTTAAAAAAATTAAATAAGAACATAAAATAAGAGGGAACGAACTCCAGAAGATTGACATGTATGATAGAAGCTTAGCTAGGATGCCTCCATTCGGCTTCGCTGAAATGTTGGAAGAAACGCGGCAAGATATGTGGGAGAAGCGAGCTATCGCACACAGGGGAGGATGCAAAAACTCGTACATCACGGGTTATCGCTTGTTTTAGGACGCCGAACAACCAGACGCCAAATCGGAGCCCGTTAGGGGTTCGATTCGTTATATCGTACAATATATATCGTTGAATGGTGCGCATTCTTTGTTTAGCTACACCTTTTGCTTTTCCCTTCCTTTGTTGTTCAAAAAGTTTCCTCTGAAAAAATTTCAATATACATTCGTTCAATTCTACACACCCTTGTGTTTTCACCGAAGCTAAAAGGCATAAAAATGCTAGTATAAATAATTTTTTAAAATACGCTGCTCTTTCGCGCTGCTTTAAAACAGTTTCCTACTTTGAGTTACATCCTCCTTAACAGATGTTTGCGTACAATAATCGGATCCGCGAATATTGCAAGCATGCGGAGCATTCGGGCACCGAAAGGTTGAAATATCTTAAGTCCAAGTATGTCTGCAATTCTTCCTGTCAATGCACAACTCTCATCTTTTTATCAAGTGACAAGTTTATCTTAGTTGCTGGTTATCAAAGTTATTTTTCGGAGAAGAGCTTCGACACATTTTAAATACACTGAAAAAATTTTATTGAATTTTTATATTGCCGTAGTTCTGTTTTACCGACTTTAAGTTAGGTTAGGTTCACTTTTTATTGAATATTCTCTGATTGAAAAATCCTCTGCAATGAAAGTACTGATAATAATGAATGGGAAGCGCTGTCCAGCAACTAATTTTTGCTGTTTTATGCCTTCGATTCCGCACGCAAAAATACATACATAATTAATTCAAGTACGAATCTTTTGATACAGGCTTTTAATCTCATTTTTATGATTTCTGTATTATTCGTTCATGTCATTTCTATTAGGAGCGTCATATTTTGTGCACAAATAAATTGCAGAACTTTTGTATTAAATAATTATTGTTATGAGCTGATGCAAGAGGCTGATAAAAAATTGTAATTTCTTAATTTTTTTAATTATTTTTTTTTTTATACGAAATTACAACACTGCCCGTTTATTATTATCAGTACTTTAATTGTGGAGAAGGATTTTTCCATCTGTATAGCCAATAAAAAGAAAAGTCCTTAAACTCAAAGTCGGTAAAACAGACATGGTCAGCATTCCCTTAATAAGATTGATTTGATATAAAAAAATATTTATTAATTTAATATTTTTTTAGTGTATTTAATAAAAATATCATATATAGGAACCTTTAAATTCTTATTGTTAAATATTTAAAATTGCCTCGGGTTAGCAGCAGGGTTCATCGACAGAAGGGTTAATTTATTTGTTCGTCTTCCGGGGCAAAAAGGCCGGTCCGATAATTTTGTCGCGGACGTTTCTTTATTATCTATATCCGACCCGGAATCGTCGACGATGCGAAATCTCGTCCAAGGGGGATAAAAAGGGACGAGAAGACATCTTTGCCTCCTCCTTCTCTCGACTCGTTCGCGCCCTTCGAACTTTTCCGACCTCGCAAGTCGATCGGCCCTTCCCTTTTCTCCCGGCCGTTTAATATTTCTCTCTTTTCGCCTGATTCCACATTGGTACCCTTCTTCGTAGATTGCGCGACGATTCTCCCCTTTCTCCCTATCTTTCCCTCTCTTTCTCTTGTTCGCTCTTTTCGCTCGATTTCACGGTTGCCGCGACATGGAAGAAAATCGGCAACGATAAGACGCCGATTGTGATGTCTGCGAAGCACTGAATCGGACCGAAGGAAAAAGGAACAGGGCCGATGATTCTCTTCGATTCCGGCGCGTTAAATTCCTGAAATTTCGCCCGTCCTTTTAATTATCGAGACATTGTCGGATTTCACAATTTTCTTATATTTTCGAGTCCTAAAATGAGAGGTCACAAGGGAACGATTGGAAGTGATCCTCACCGATTTTAATAAACTTATAGAATTGAAAAATATTAGACCCGTATTTTTTTAACCACGTATCTCGACATTTAGGGGATGAAACACCCCTTTGAAAAAATCGGTCTTTTTATTTCTAAATATCGTCGAAACGGTATAAGATATAAAAAAAAATGTTTCAAATAAAAGTTATATGATTTTTAATGTTTTTTGAAACAGTGCAATTAAATTATGGAGACGGGAGAGGGGGAAAATTTGACATTTTTAAAAAATTTGATTACACTGTTTTAAAGAATATTAAAAACCATAAAACTTTTATTTGAAACACTTTTATATCTTTTACCGTTTCGATGGTATTAACTCAAAAATAAAAAAAACCGATTTTTTCAAAGGGCTAGTTTTAAAGGTTTCTATATATAATATTTTTTATTAAATACACTGAAAAAAATATGAAACAAATAAATATTTTTTCACATCAAATAAATGTTATTAGTTTTAAATAAATGATTTAACAGGCAGTATATTGAAATAAATATTTATTCGAATTCAAACAACTTTTTTCAGTGTATTTGAGATGAGTTTCGGAGCTTTTCTCCGAAAAATCACTAAAATATAATGTCGAGATACACGGCTAAAAAAACGCGAGTCTAATATTTTTCAATGCTCTAAAACATATTCCAAGTTCATTAAAATCGGCGAGGGTCACTTCCGACCGTTGTCAGTTGAATGCTGCGGCTTGACGTCGAATGTGTAATTTTTTTATTTTTTTTTCATTTTTTCGTTCCAGCTAGCTCGTCTATTAAGATGCTGATTCGATAAAAACAACTGTTGGACGCTGCTGGCGAACGACATTTTCGTTTTCATGTAAAATATACGTTCAACTACCGCTCGACGGTCGCCGCGTGGAGAGTTTTTTAATCTGCCGGATAAACTTTCCGATCTGATGTCGTTCGTCGACTGAGAGAGAGCCCGACTTCGTCAGAACTTCCGGTCTTTCCCTTGTACACGGGATGTATCTCCTTACGCCACTACTTACGCGAACTTTTCCGCGGAGCTTTAAGGAGGCCGAAGTTTGATCCTTCTTTTGCTGAGAGAAAGGGGGCAGGAAGTCGTTTAAGATTAATGTGTTCTTCTTAGGTTGCTCCTCTGCGACTTGAACGGGGATTGCCATCCTACTAACAAGGGAACAAACTGGGAAGTTTTGATTTCAATGAAACTTGGAAAATATGTAGAGTAGCTTGTTAGAGAGAGAAAAAAAATTCGGTATCAAAATGTGCGCCGCGTTATTATAAAATATTTAAAAATCTTGTCCCCTCTTGATAGCTGTTGCCAACAATTTTTAATCTGACGCGACGTATGAGTTTCATGAACCTTCCAAAATGAAATTTTTCCTTCTTGTTAATTCACGAAAGCTCGCTTGTCTAAAGGCGGAAGAATTTCTCTGATGTATGTCGAAACACAAACAAGGTAAACGTCAAGGCGTTGCACAATAATGCAATTATGAGCGGAGCATCACGTTCCGCTTGACATCGTGCTACTAACAATAAGATGGACTTTGTAATATTATAAAATAGAGAAATGATCGATCGTGCGACTACCATCTTTCTCTGCAACTTTCTGACTCTTTTAGTTTACTTCTTCATTTTATTTTTATTTTTGCGAAATTTTGTATGATAATTAATAATATTTAAAGAGTCAAGATTTTAAAAATGCAATAATTACACTTTTTTTGAGATTTTGGAATTTGGAAGATTTTTAATTGTAGACGCGATTGTAAAAAGAAAAATATGTAATATCATTTCAAAATATTTTTTATTGTCATATAAAATTTCGAAAGAAAATTTATTAATTACAGTTTTTTTAAAGATTTCGAAATTTGAAAAATTTTAAATTAAAACTCGATTGCAAGAGGAAAAAAATAAGGAAAAAATTATATCATATTATATATTGATCATGTTTTTTAACTTTTTAAAAAAACATGATCAATATATAATATGATATAATTTTCTCCTTATTTTTTTCCTCTTGCAATCGAGTTTAATTTATTTTAAATTTTAAAAAAACATGATCAATATATAATATGATATAATTTTCTCCTTATTTTTTCCCTCTTGCAATCGAGTTTAGTTTATTTTAAATTTTTAAAAAAACATGATCAATATATAATATGATATAATTTTCTCCTTATTTTTTCCCTCTTGCAATCGAGTTCAATTTAAAATTTTTCAAATTTCGAAATCTCTAAAAAACCTGTAATTAATAAATTTTCTTTCGACTTTTCGAAATTTTATATAACAATTAAAAATATTTTAAAATAATATTACATATTTTTCTTTTTACAATCGCGTCTACAATTCAAAATCTTCCAAATTCCAAAATCTCAAAAAAAGTATAATTATTGCATTTTCAAAATCTCGACTCTTTAAATATTTTCTTTGAAAAGTCTACGGCATATTTGCGTCCTCTAGTTTTTCTTCCCGTCACAAAGATTGGAAATTGAATATTTATTATTGCCGCCTGTGTGCTTGCAGAACGGACGGGCCAGTAGCGAGAGCAGCGAGGACGGAGCCGGAAGTAGCGCGAGCACTTCGCGAGGAGTCGGAAGTGGATTCGGTCTCGCCGGCGGCTGCACAGGCGGATGGCGCAGCGTCTTCGGCGCAGTTTCAGGTCGAGAACTCAGACTGTACGAGTGCGCGCCTTGGAGTCCGGAGGCCTGGGCTTCACCGAGCATTACCTGTCCCCTCATCGCGACACGGTAAGGAAGAGCAAGGGAAAGAGAAAGAGCCCTTTACAATATTTACAATTTTAAACAAAGATATACGATCCTCCTCCTCTGCTCGTTCCTCAAATTCTGCTTTTATAACATCCAAGAAGGCGCGACGCCGGGCGCTCTTTTTCAGATATTTTTCCTTCGTACTTAAAACTTTTGTACTCTCAAGATGAAAAACTTGAAATAAAACTTCTTGATTACACGGACATTATTTTGAAGAATTAGCCTTTAACTTATTTTACGATTTGTATTATTATTCTCGTGTAATATATATTTTTTTAAGACTGATGAGGTGGATTGTAACGATAATTTTGATATCAGATTCTTCGGCCAACTTATTAGAATCGATTTTTTTTCTCAGCGAAAATATCAAAGGAGGTCATCCATTTTTTTTTCTGTTGTGTTTCTTCGTAATAAGTAAGTCTTAAATTAAAATTTTATCAAAGTAAACTCTACGTGAAATTAACTGAAGAATGGAATTTCATTAATTATATTTAAACTCCATATATAGTTTAATTTGCCAAGGGCTCTTTTTTAATTGCTTATAATCCGGAAATTATGAATGTTTTTCCACACAAAAAAAGGAGAATCTAGAAATTGGACAAAGAATCTGTTATTAAAAGAAGATGGTTCTGGACAATCTGAAAGAACTCGTTAACTTTCTCGCGACGTTTACTGTCAGTGTTTGCTGTTATTTAAATAAATTATATAGATGATCATTTAGATAAAATTTGGGCGTCATCATATCTTTATATAAATAATAGAAATATGTATTATCTATATCTGCATCTTAAATAAAAAAAAGTGTTATGTTTACTAAATTATCTTTCATTTTTTATACTTGTGCTTACATAAGCGGTCTTAAAATAATATTATCTGAAAGTTATCTAGATGAGTCGCCATATATAATTTTATCCTTTTTCTAGATAGATTTAAAACAAAATTATCTTTCTCTTATCTAAGATAAATTTACATATTTTCATCTCATCTTTATCTAAGCACAACACACTGTTTACTGTTTAAAGGTACGGTTTAAAGGGCTTTTTATGTATCGCTCATCGCTTTTCGGCGATAAAAAAGTCATCTTTATCACATATAGTCTCACATATTCCGCATGTATAAACATTCTCAATCTACAAAAAAATATTTAATTTAATTCAATGCTTTCATGCTGTTACTTACACTTTGATTATCCATTTGATTTATAAATTTTGATGCAGCGACGAGAATTAAGGCTGTTTCGATGCAGCGAAGAAAATTAGTTTCGATGTAGCGACATTTACACTGCAGTGTCTTTCACACTTGTTAATATCGCTTATAGTTAGAAAAATCCAACTACAAAATCATGTCGCTAGCGATTACGTGACGTCATTATATCGCCGAAAACGAGCGACACATGAAAAAGCACCTTAATATATCGATTCTCTTCGGAATATCTCGACATTCGTTTCTCGTCGTGTAAATGTCGCTGCATCGAAACAGCCTTAATTTTCTTCGCTGCATCGAAACAGCCTTAATTCTCGTCGCTGCATCGAAACAGCCTTAATTCTCGTCGCTGCATCGAAACAGCCTTAATCCTCGTCGCTGCATCGAAACAGCCTTAATTCTCGTCGCTGCATCGAAACAGCCTTAACTCTTGCCTCGCTGCATTGAAACAGCCTTAATTCTCGTCGGGGTTCGTCCACTTATGGACCAAAATGGCGTAACAAACCGCTATCGCGGTCATTAACGCGACGATTCACGTATCCGCACGACGATTCGACGTATCGACTGCGGTACGTGAGAGAGCGGAAACGTGCTTTCGAGTGAAACGGGCCACGTATCGCGCCACCTACAAACCGCGTCACGTTGTAGCACGTATACGATTTCACACTGGTTGGTGTGCAAAGGGATGGGGCATCCGGTTCGATATGTACTTAAAAATTCGAGTCGAATCCAATAACATCAGTTACGTTCGAATTTTAGATTGAGTGCAAGTTTCAAGCATTTTCTACCTTAAAAAATCGACAAATATTTTTAGAAGTAATTTTCGAACTTTAAAATAGAAAAAATCTATATATATATAAATTATTTATTCATAAAAGATTGGTATATAGAAAATATTGTTTTTTTACAGAGTACGTATAGAGAGTTTGAATCTTATCTAGGTTTGAGGTTCTATATTTTTTCTAAATAATCGCAGAGAGTTTATGAAGCCATGCAAACAAATTGAAACCTACTTTTAAGATAATTATCTCGATTTTATAATTCACCTTAATTTGCAACTAACATCTGTTCCTTGATAATCACGCAAGCTTAATAAAGTTATTATAATAATTTACAATAAAATAATTAATTTTAAAAAAGTCAGTTTAAAAAGAAATCTCCAAAAGTCACTGTGCGTTAAAATAATTAATTAAAAAAAAAAAAAAAAAAAAATAGATATCGGTTTAGAAAATTTTCCAAGTCAGACGAGACTATCTCTGTATCGCGTGCACGCGGGAAATTAAGCGTGAAAAATTCACCGATGTCGCGTGCGCGAGGAAGCGACGTCGCAGGACGAGCTACTCCCGATGGAGCGACTATACAACGACTGTACGAGAGAGAATACACGGAGTTGGAGGTTGATCGTGGGGCTTCACAATATCCTGTCTCTCGCGCGTGTAGAAAAATTCATCCGCGCGAAAAGCGACACATATAAAGGTAAACAACCCCTCCATTATCAAATGATAATGGCGTCGGATTACAACGGTTAGCGATTAGTTCGTTAGACCGCTGTTTTAATTAAGACTATTACACGTCCGGTCGCGTGATGTCATCATTGCGACACTCGTTACGTGCGTGGCTCGCGAAATCGTTTCATCCCCCTAACCCCCACCCCTTCACCCCCCACCCCTCCGTTCTGATGCGCGCGATTCGTTTTGCAATCATCCGACGTCACATCCGATGCTAATCACGAACGCGTCGCTCGACCGTGTACGGATGAGCGTAAATTTGAGCTTTCAACATCTAATTATTCGCCGCGCTGTTTCGAATTATTCGAGGTGAATCCAGGCGAGGAGGAGATTATGGGAGGTGTCATCCTCTCCCGGATCCATCGAAACTCATCGTCGGCTTTATGACTCGAAATAATATATTCGCGAAAAACGCGTACCAGGGAGTATCGATATCTCATTCTTCCGAAGTTACACGCAAAAACTATAGGTATTTCTTCGATGCTAGCTCTGGGTGTATCGCTCTGTATTCAAAGTTAGAAGGATTCCACCCGAATGACGATACCTCGGGCGATATTTCTCCGAGAGAGATGTCTTTCTATATCCATGTACTTATATGTCGTATTCTCGCGTGATGGAAAATGTTTCTCAAACGTCAAATTCGTCGAGAAATGGATCGCGTCTGCGAACGTCTAACGTCAAATTTGTCGAGAAACAACGAGCGGAGAAAAAAGTTTCTGCACCCCCGAACTTTAATTTACGAAATATAATAAATTGATTTTCTTTATTCTCGAAATTTATCTTTATTTTTTTTTTTTTTTTTTTGGAATTTAAAAGTGTTGCTCGAGTCTAGGAAATATTCTATGAAAATTATAAACTCATCGGAACAATCTGCAAACAATCATAAAGTCTATTTTCGAAAGTTACACAACGACATCATCGGAAACGTTAATATGTAATGTGCGCGCAAGAATTCCATCGGGATGTCGATAACGAGATTTTACACGGATGAATAAGCCGGTGTTTAAACAAATGCATCGATCGAACGTTTATTAATTCCACGTAACGTCCTTTCGCAATCATTGCGGCCATGCTGCACGCACTAATCACGATTGGTTTCGGTTTTCATGGCGGATTGCTGGCTTGGTAAATAACCGAGTGAACAAATATCTCGACAGAGCATTTGTCAATAACAGGCTGAAATTAATAGGACGATAATACAGATTAGAGATCTTGTTAGAGAGATATTAATGTAATATAATATCAATATTTGTAGCATCAAATATACATCTCTACAAGACAATTGTGGATTTTTTTTGGAAAAAATTGCCTCTGATAGATTCATAGTTCAATGAATTTTAAGCGAAATATTTTTTCAACAATTTTTCAAAGGGAAGATAAAAATTCGAAAAATGTACCTAATATTTTCACTATAACATAATGCGACAAACAAAACCTCAATTGACAATAATAGGTTGAAATTAATAGGATGATAATATAGATTACAGATCTGGTTAGAGAGATATTAATGTAATACAATATTAATTTGTAACATCGAATACATATGTGTTACATTTCGAACAATTTTACGATTTAAGCAAAATATTATTTTTAATTGTGTAGAAACTTGGGGAGAAGAAAATTTGGAAAAATATAATATTTTCTCTATAGAATGATGAGATAAACAGAAGCTGAATTGAATTGCGAAATGTAATTTTTGAAATAAGGGGATATTTCTTTCTCCCTTTCGCTCTTATAATATGAAATTACAGCGACAGAGGCGTTTTGTGTCGCCCGAAGGCGATGAGCATGAATTTAATTAAACGTTTGTTTATTTATCTAAACAAATGAGTCTCGATTCGATCTGTAATGGCGCTTGATACATAATATATCGCATTGCCATTACAGAAATACCGCCGTTCCCGCAGTTATTTTTTCCCAGTATTTATCGCGACGACGACCCGTTTTCGGTCTCTTCCACCTCTCTATCTCTCGATATCAGCGTACAATCGATTTCAACGTCTCATTCTCTCCGGACGTTTATGTATCTATCTGCCCGCTTTATTTATTTATTTGTCCACTCGAACGGATTGCGATCGTCGTATTAATATACGTTCGAATGCAATCGATTTATTTAGACGTTGTTTATTTACTCGCAAGCGCACGCGGATGTTTATTCAGCCTCAACGTCGCGTCGAGATAAACGCGGGCTGGTCGCGAGAGAACGCGCGTGTTGTTGTACCAAGATTGATTCCAGTTGCAATCGCTTCGAGACGTTCTCAGATATTGTTT